TACTTCTCGTTTCGCTAGACTCTATTTCTTGCTTTATTGGCCCACTTTTGGTGTCATATATAATATATTTATAGTATATAATAATTCGAAAAGATTTTTTCCACTACATTGGAAAATGATACCCGTGACACTGCAGTATCCATATGATACTTATAATTTTTACGAAAAAGGCATTTAAATGTAGGCTTGTTTAATTAAATCACTTTGTCGGCCAACCATAATGTTCACAATTTTCCGACAAAGGTAGTACCTTGACTCCTATACCATGACGTCCAACTCTAATCACTCCTTCACGTTTCTTTTGATATTGTTAAGTGAATTCGGTTATTAGCTTTTGAAATAAGGCTGCTTTTAGTTAAGCTCACCAAACAGCAATAGGGTTTTTATATGGTCTGAAATTGGGAGTTTCCATGGTGGTGAGTCCTGTTATTCTAAACCAATAAAGTAGGTTAAATGCACATATGATAAAGACGAAAAGTGATAAATGGATTTTCAGCCAACAAGCACTTTGCTACTAGTGAAGCATGATTAGGCTTGGTTAGAAAACTCACAAACCAATACAGTGGTATTTTCCTGCACGCAGACCAGCATGGGTGTAGTGTGGACCAGTGAGAAGCTAGTACCAAAGTAATACTAAACTTTAACCCTTCTCCGTTTGAGATGACAGAAGCTTTTGTGTCAGGTTTTTCTCTTCCGCTCAACGTTCTATCCGTGTTTCTTGATCCACCAACCTCTCTACTTTTCTCTCATTGGAATTCATTCCTCACTATTACATTTTGATCCGTCTTCCCCATCAATAAAGGAGTGGAAACAATGTTCTAAACGCTTCTTCTAAACATTCATTCATTCATTTCAAGTGGCAGGCGTTTTGATAGCTATCATTAGCCCTTTAGCTGACTTCGGGCTTCACCGAGGGAAGAAACACCAAAGTAACAGAAAGTCGAGGGGTGGGGAACAGAAGAATGATTCACAGATGTATAAGAGACAGACAGACGTAAAGGCAGAGAAGAGGTAAGATGAGTACTGTTGAAGTGGTCGAATATGACATACAGTTGTGTCATAGTAGTTTGAAGTGGGAAGTCAACTACCAGTTAATTGACTTTTTGCCGTATGAGTATATGAAGGTACGTCTGTCGCACCCCACACCCCCTTCTCAATATAATATACTGATAAATTAGAAGAATTCTGACTATATATGGAGTCAGTGACCGCATTTTTCTTTTCAGAAGATAAGGAATTTGCTCACTGAATACCATTTCTTGTAAAAACTGTCGTATCTAGCCCATTTCCAACGCGAATTATTTGGTATACTAATACTGGTTGCCGTCATAAATACAGCAACTCAGAATGAATACTCATAAAATAAAGTAGTTTAAATGGTGATAACGCATACTGCTATCGACACTCTAGAAACGCGCAAGCTTAAATTGTATCTCCAAAGCTAGTTTAAAAGCAGGTCAGCTAGCGTTCGTGTTCTGTTTTGTTATTTCGCAGTGCTAGCGAAATATTAGCCCTTAAGTGTCACAGTCAGTGTTCCAGCTCTCCTTATATTGCTTTTGTGTCCTGCGAAAACTACTTTCCTCAATACACAATATTTATCTGCCCTTGACAACAATTTTACCAACGATGTGTATGTACAAATATGAAGAAAAATCCGACTGCGTTGTGCTGATTATGTTATTTTAATATGTTGACTTAAATTTTTGGTTAAATAAATCAAGTTTTATATATTTTGACACCAAATTAATATCTCTATCTAAGTGGGTTATCTTTTTGATCTATTGCAAAGCAACAAGTTTTATGAATTTTAATCATGTTATACCATTGGACAAGTGAAATAGAGATTGAGAAACAACTTGTGTCAGATCAATTTTAATTATCGATGCATTGAATTTTCAGCTTAGCAAAAAAATATGTACTTTAATTTGCAATGCCAAAATGTTCCACGGTTCAATTTTTTTTCTGATTCATGAATGTTTGAGAGAATGTATATTGGTGATATCGAGGTAATATTAGTAAGTTTATTGAATAGAATAGCTGGTTATACCGCTTCACTTCTGCTGTTTCTTCTCACAGACATCAGCAGGCGAACGGGACTATTACATATATTTTCAACCTATAAAATCTCACTATGGTACCAAAATTTCCAAAATATTCCCCAGTGATAAGCTGTTTGTCAAATGAGATGAGTTTTGGAAGTTCCAGGATCCCTGTGTGGAAACCGAAAGTGCGCAGCAATGTTATTTGAAACAGGTCTGTGGTATTCAAGATGGCTACTTACCAAAATAAGTGCTTCCGAAAGCACAACTATACATAAATACCAACACCTCTGTTACGCAAAATTTAAGCACGTAGTGCAATTGCAAAACTCGCGTCTTAAATTCAAAAAGACTAAATGCTACTGAGAACGTGCCAGCAAATCAATGAGAAGATTCTAAATGGCCCTCGACACTAGTTCGAATTAATCAATTAAGTCACATGGTTGAAACAATGCACGTGTATTTAACATTTACAAATAATAGATCAATCGTTTCATTACTTATTTGTATAAAAGCGAAATAGTCATCTGCTACTAAATTTTCTGGACTTCAATGTAGCACTTACACTGAGTAAAATTTTCATCATTTTCTTTTTTTATATTTCTGCCAAAGCTCTAATTCAGCTAAACAGGCAATACTCTAAAAATTTCATATTTGTCACTTCACCATTTCCAATCATTTAATCTCAAGGTCAAGGCAACGTTGTATATCAAAACAGTAATTTAACTCTTTGATTATTCTAAATGTTAATAAATTTTCAAAAAATCTTTTTTATCTTCGAAAAATTGATTTATTGTTTCATCATGTGTAAATTTTATCTTTGTTAGTGTTCTATGGCAAATGGAATTTACACTAAATAAGTTAAATATGGCTAGATAAATTATCAACTCTAAAACCCACTTTACTTCAACGATACCTCTTTGAAAGAATAGCAAATTAGTACCCACTTATCACATCTTGATTTAAATCGTTTTGAACTAACAAATACAATAATTTGTCCCTCTCTTAATGAACAATTCTTAAACTTTAACACTAAAATATTGCCCTTTTAGATTATGCATTATGAATATAGCTACTATAGATTGCGGGTTAGTCATTCAAACTCATCATAGGAACCGTTATTACAACAATGGAAAGAGAGATGACATATGGCCTCTCGGTCAAGAACAAAGCAGTCTCACTTGTTCACCGTTGCTACTTCGGTTTCAAATGCCTTTCCGTTTTCGATTTAGTAACTATTCTGCCTAATACTGTCTCAAAAGTAGTGATTGAATATTTTCTAAACAAAGAGGAAGGAAATAGCAATCCATACGAATGGAATTAAATTAGAGATTTGTCGAGAAATGTGCTACAACAAAGGGAACTGACTAATCAACCACTTTAAAATATGGGGTGTGTGATAGACTTACCTCCACGTAGTGCACCCTGGGCGACGTATACTCATACGTCAAAAAAGTCCATAAACCGGTAGCTGGCTTCTGACTTGAAAATACCATCACCCCACTGTGTCATATTCGACTTCTTCCACAGTACTCACATTACATTTTTTCTAAATTTTCTAACTTCGTCTTTGAAACTCCTCTGTACCTCCCCCCTCTCAACCTTTTTTCACTTTGTTGTTCATTCCCCTTTGAGAAGCCTGAAGTCAACTAAAGGGCTGCTGATAGCCATCAAAATCCCTTGTCATTTGATATAAATAAATAAACATTAAAATATTTCTTCAAGCATAAACCGAGGAATTCCAATATCAACATACCATTACTGAAGTATGACAACTGTTCATTAAAAATTATTTTACTACCGAATGTTGCGCTCGACTGTAAAGAACCTCTGATATTTAACGTATAAATTCACTTAAACACTTTACGCTTACGATGACAATACTTTATAAGCTTTCATGACAATAAACACTCGTCCTTATTAGGTAGATTACGGGCTCAAAACCTGAAGCCAGAGAAGCTATGTAAACGCCAATTACAACCGACTGGTTTAGACATTGACTGGGTAACATAATCAAAAATATGAATGGATAAATATGTACGTAAAATAATGCCCTGTAAACAGTATAAGCAATTCAAATACCGAATTCGGAATTTTACAAACACGAAGGAATCCACAACGTCAATAAATTACTCCGATGAAAGCTAGATGTAATAATTTTGCAAAGATCAACTCCGACGAGGTTAAACTTTTAATAGCCTATTCACACAGGAGCTCATGAAAAGCCCAGACATGATCGCGAACAGAATAAATGAAAAAATACAAGTACCATTGGACAACAGACGCTTCAATGCCAATTACTCAACCCTCGGTTCTTTATTTAATAAATTGTGCAAAAAGAAAATACTAATAGGAAGGCTGTATGATAATAGCCCAATTATCGCGAAAGAGACTAGACACGCATTTAGAATTCTAGCATCTCGTAGTCTGAAATCCAAGATAAATATACATTTATATTTACCAATTACTGAAATTATAAAGTAATACTTTAAAAAATAATGGCAAAAAAAGCTTTTTATGCCATTAGACAAAGCGAAAATGATTAAAGTTGCCAAAAAAACATGAGAATAAAGACAACGGGACTCGCAACAATAAGTTCCAGTAATTAACCTCAAAGTAAAATAAATCTCAGCAATTTAAGTGGAAACAATCAATATTCCTCTTGGAAATTTACCATTCGAAAATTATCAGCATAAACTTGAAAATAAGATAAATTGAATTACTTGGCGTTTCACTGCATAGCAAAATGTCTGTTTCAAACAGCGCATTACAACATACAAGGGAACAAAATGTTAAAATAATACACAGAAATAAGATATCTACAAACATTACTAGCAAATCATAGTGATGCAATCAGCCAAACATACGTGCTAGAACCTTAATGCCCGCTGAAAGCCACCAAGGAAACTTCAATATCAAAATTTAACACAAATTTGACAATTATACCAAAATCGCATTTATTTAAGACTTTTCAGCTGCGACAGGGGTGTTGGTGGCAGGAGGAGCAGTGGTGACAGGAGTAGCGCGGACCTTCTTGTTGTGTTTCTTAGCGAAACGCATGTTTCTTAAAAACTTGGGGTCAACCTAGTGAGGATTAGGTAAAATTAAAAATACTTACTCCTTTCAAAGATGGAAATCGCTGCTTCGGTGGTCTGCGAATACCATTACGGTGATTTTTACGGTCTATTTAAAGTGATTATGAACGAATAAATAAACATACTTTGATGATGAGTACTATGATTCTTGCTCTTGGCCATCACGAACGTGCAAAGAATATCCAAGTGATGCGCCGTGCAAGATAAGCCAAACACAAACACAATTACCAAATACTTTAAATAACATGCATTCAAACTTCCAATTAACTAAAAATATTTTAATTAATTTTATTTAGCGTACTCAGAAGTAATTTTGTCTTTGATAATGCCACTGAATATATACTAACCATCATTATATCATATAGAATTATCGCACAACTTACTAAATGCAAAAATGATAATTATTGCCATACTATCTTTTATTAGATTACTGAAAATTATATATGGATTCGAAGTATTTTTAAACAGTTAATTTGAGTCAAATATTCTCAAATTTGTTAATATTTTTCGTTATCGAATTTGACGCACTAAGACAAAAAATTGTTTAAAAAATTCTAATTTAAAACCTAGTTAGAGTATATTTATCTGTTTTTAAATGCGCTTAGTGATTCTCTTCCATCCAAATGACTGCCAACCGAAACGGCACCAGTAAGAACTTTAAAGAAAGCTCTAATTAACTCATGATATATTGAATCAATAACGGGGTCATATCTACTGGGTTTCGGGACAGTCTGAAAGATGTATTGTGACATCGAGAAGTTGGTGGTCAATTTCGGTTGTGCATGCAGTGAACTCTTAGTCAACCAGCAATACATATTAACGCAGAAAACTGTATGTCAATGACAAGCACTGTTTTCCGTGCTTAGCATAATCTGAAATTAAACTATTCAGCCTAAATACTCATTACTTTCTCGATGCTGCTGTGATAGCTGTGGTAATTTCTGAAACGCCTTATACGAGGATATAAAGTTTAACCAGAGCTTATTTTGTTGTATCTGCTACACGTCAAATATAGCCCGAACTATATACCTGAGCCTTTTTGTGCTCTAAAACCTGTCCTATTCACCGAAGTGTATGTTGAGTTGCGCCACATTAGAGTTTAAAATCCCGGGTTAAAGGTCATAAAATTAATAATCAAGTTAAATTCCAAGCAGATTTTTTCAAACTTTAATGGCTTTATACTATTCATTTTAGTTAATCATTGATATTAATAAGCTATGTATCAACGTATAAAAAAAGGGTTTTTTGGCTATTTGCCCCAGCGCACAAAGTGAATTTTCTTGTTTGAGCCCAATTGATCACATCTGTTTGCCTCAATTTATGTACTAGTAACATCAATAATTATGCTGCGATTAGCCGAAAAGATTCGTAAAAAGCAGGAAGGTGAAGCAATAAATGAGTCAGATTTCGCCTCCTCCCCATCTTTGATTAATGCTTCCGTCCGTGATAAGTTGTTGGCACAAGAAATTCCAGAAATAAAAATAAATTTACCCAGTACTTGCAAAATGACATATCCGGACCCTAATAAAATTCACGAATTCAAGTTGGAGATTACTCCAAATGAAGGGATTTGGCAACATGGGCGTTTTATTTTTGATTTCAATATCCCAGAGACCTATAATCACGCCCCTCCAGTTGTTAAATGTCTTACCAAAATATGGCATCCAAACATAGATGAGCATGGAAATGTATGTCTCAGTATCTTAAGACAAGCTTCGCTTGATCTTACGGGATGGACTCCAACCAGAAAATTAATGGATGTAATTTGGGGCCTGGAATCACTGTTTGGTGATCTTTGCGATTTTACAGACGCGCTCAACGTTAAAGCCGCAGAACAATACCTTCAAAATAAGGACGCCTTTATACGCACAGCTCGGAATTTTGTTTCTCAATACGCTCGAAACTGATTGAACCAGACATGCCTTCCATAGACTTGATGAACTTATTTTCCTGTTGCCATTACGTTTATTAATTCATATTTTGCTTCATTGCCTGTACAAACTAAATAAACCTGCGTCTTAACTGCCATTTTCTTCTTTCTCAGATTTCTTAAATATTTTCTACTGTTGAAAGCTTTTTTCTAGATGCTAAGATACGCGTTTTCTGCACACTGCGTGAGAGCTCTTTCAACTGGTGCCAAAACTACTCCACCACCGGGTTCAACAAAGCCTGCAGTTTCCTCAAAAGCAGTTCCTGCAAAGGCTCCCACCCAACCGCAACAACCGTCTGCTCAAACTCTTCAACCTGTTCCAGCGACGACTTATTCATCACCATACAAAACAAATGAATACTATGCTTTCTCTCAGTATTCATTCTTCGATTTAGGTGCCAAAAAACAAGCCCTTCGTAATCCCCAACCAAGTCCAAAGCACTAGCTTACTATCTACCTCCCTGTAGTAGCGTATTAATAAATCTACATACCCTGATCATTTTCAGTTTTCGGTTTTCGTTATATGTGTGATTAGAGATCGATAATACTTTTTCCCTCAGATGAATGTAGATCATTTCGAAGAAAGAGTTGCTGAACTTGAGCGCTTGATTCTCGGAGTTAGAAATCTAGCTCCTCAGAGGCCTCCTAAACAGGTAATTGGAGTAATCGATTAATTGATCTGTTATTTTAAGACTATATCAGATATGATTGCGGATGCTCAAAAACAAGTAACTCTAGCTGAGAAACAACCGAAAATTAAGGAGATTTTAAATCGAAGTAAAGTTTTTCTCGTGTTTTTTTTTCAGATTTGGCGCTTTCGGAATAGACGTGTGATTGTAATGGAGCTTTTTTCTATTCTAGTGAGCGAGTTAAGCAAGTATATGGATCCCAATTACCTTGACGACCAAGCAGTTGCCACCACAGCTAAGATCAATGCCATTCTTTCACGTACGTTTTTGTTAAATTTTATCAATTAAATTTTGACGCATGTTCGAATTTCGGACCTTTGTGTAAAAATACTTTTTTTAACATAATGCATAGCGTCTTTTTGGCAATCTTTCGTAACCCTAGACGATTTTTGGGTTACCAATTCTCGTTTAATAGAATTAGAATTGGCTCACGCTCCAAAATCATAAAGTAATCGTGGTCTATAGAGTTTGATATACAGGTAGATGTAAATATTTCGTCTACCTCTCAGTGCTTGGGATAGACTGGGTTAAAAGTAAGTACGCTTATTATTACCTGGTTTAAGCTTATTGGTTCTGACCGATAATTAATTGAATCAGATCAATATCCGCATGCAGTTTTTGTTCGCAATAATTTGTGTTGGATCCCTCGAATATTTATTTTTAAAAAATTTTTATCTTCGTTCGATATTTAGATGAAGCAGAGATACGACAGACTGCTCAAGCCCTGGAAGCTTTCCAGTCTCTAAAAGATGTGCTTAATAATCCAGCTTACTCAGGTCAGTATCAATTAATTACTTTCCTTATCATGAGTGTGTTTTGACTAACTTTACTCAATCAAGGATTGATTGCCTACTTACTTATATTGGAACAATGTAATGATAACTCCTTCTTATATTCCTTGTGGGCTGAGGAGTAATATATTGAAGTCTCCGATGTGAAACGTACTGTCTAGTATAAGTAGATTCATTTGCTGTATGTGAAACCTAACTTGATTGGTGTGTACATTGGCCTACTGTGACATCAGCACATTGGGAATCAGCTACCACTTGTCAATGAGGGGGGGAAATTTTTCGCTTAGATGAAATTTGTTCAACAGTAGTTACCATCCACAATACTTGGCACATTTCTACAAAAAGAACTTCTAAATATTTTCCACATCGGCGATGAAAAGCACTTCCATTTTCTTTGGATTTGAATATAATTGTTTGGGTCTAAAGACCCCTTCAACCGAACAAAAACTTGCCAAGGTGTTTGCCAGCGTCCACTTTTGGGAATATATGGAAAAAATTGCCACTCTCTGCTTATCACAGATGTTTTCTTATTTTGTGCAGTTTAGATCAGTGTATAGTCTCTATATGCCATTTCGAAGTGGATAAAATATTCTTGTGCTTAAGGACTGCAGATATGCCCCTTAAAATCACTCTCTTTTAAATATAAATACAAATTTATAATTGTACGCGCTTTTTTTTTCCTGTTAACATTTAACCAATTTCTAAAACTCAGTATATATTTATCATGTGACAACGAAACAGACTATTAATTTCTTATTCATGTAAAAGCATGACTGCACTCATCTCTATCTCATTTTTACTGCTCTATTCCACAATGCCCTAACGCAGACGCGTATTTTATTGATTTCTTCTATATATGAGTTTTGTCTGTTGATTTTAGATTTGTCTGCAATGAGGGCGAAATTCGCAGAAATGCACCAGAAACACGCCGAGCAGGAGATACAAGCCAACGATTTTATCGATGAAAGCATTGAATTACTGGAGGCTTATGCTAATGCGGTTAGTCTCCACCTTCTTTCTTTCTCTCTTTTTCACTCTTTTTAACTACTGCTAAGTCATATTGAAACATCAGGCCTTGTTTACCGTTACGTTTCCTCTATCGCTGACTTGGTTGTGGGAGCGGTTGTCAAGGCATTGCCATTCATTTAGACCTCATAGGATTTTTATTAAATTTGAGCCCAGGTTTTCTGATGATTTAGCCTAGCAAGTGTGTGTGTGTGTGTGTCTTTTGTTACGACTGTTATTTGAAGGGTTAGCTGCTTTTAAGCTTATCCGTTTCGGACTCATTTAAGAATTACAATTATCGAGAAGATGAAATTAGTAATGACGAGTTCATCTTTTGTAAGGTGGTATAAAGGAACCCATTGTCCAAAGTAGAACATTTGCTTACTCTTTGTATACCGTAATTTCCTTCTTAGATTTTAATAAATTATTTCGTTCTGATGGAGTGATATCAATAAAGCCTATTCTTTGCTCAAATTCCGCATAATTCAAAAGGGTCACAGGTAGAGGGATTTAAAAGGTGGCTTGGGTCACCAACTTTCTCTTTGCATGCGTGGAGTTTCTTACCCACGTTTTATTAGACCTCGAGTAGTATTTATTGCCACCATGACAATTAGCTTATTGAACATATTCCACCACTACGGGCTAACCTCCACACTATCGCTTGCGTACTCTGCTATGGTAGGGAATTAGTTTCATGAAGCTTATACAGATGAAATAGGCAATATTGCGCTCTTCTACTTCTTTTACATCTTGATCTAAGCTTCCTGAATGCAAGGCTCGGCAGAATAATGAGCACTTGGGCTCTTCTAAAATATTCTTCCAACGCTGCGAATGAAGTCAGACCGAAAGATGAAATCACAAAAATGATCGAAAGATAGGCGCCATTTTCAGCGCACTAGAATGATTTTTTTTGTTCAAATCGTATTCTTGATCTGCGCTCTGCCTAATTGGTCAGTAGTAAATAAATTGATTGAATTTTATTTTATCAACAGTTGCTCCGTGAGGAAGATAAATGCCTTTGCTTTATCTGACTGGAATTAAAATAGTATGATTAAAAATAATTACTAATTGAAGAAATCTCCTAATAAGTCCATTCACGCTCTCTTTCTTCTCCTTTATAGACGGACAATATGTCGAAGCTGTTACTCGCTTGGCAGAAGAAAGTTGTTGCGAAGTGAACATTACATACAAAGTTTCATGCACCTTTTCTAGTGATTTAAATTTTATCTTGAGTTGTCTTTATCTATCTCTGCTGGTCCGGGTCCCAATAAATCCCTTCCTTCAAATATCTGCTTTTTAATTTATTTATTTCAAATGGCAGGCTTCATTAGCTCTTTACCTGACTTAGGGCTTCACAGAGGGGAGGAGGAACATCAAAGTGGGAAAAATTCGAGATGGGGGGGGGGGACAGAAGAGTGTTTCAACGATGTAAAAGAGACAGACACAAAGACGGAGAAAAGGTAATGTGTGTACTGTGGAAGTGGTGAAATATGGCATATAGTGGGGTCATGGTAGTTTGAAGTTAGAAGTTGATTGCCGGTTTATAGACCTTTTAGCCTTATGAGCATACGCTGGCTGGGTTGCACCACGTAGAGGTAAGTCTATCGCACACTCCTTAAATATCTACTTATTTTATTTTAGTAAAGAGCTCATCATACTATCGTAAAATTATCAATGTCTCAAAATTGATGTAATATTCGTTACCTTGTTTTAAACATATTGCACATTTTAACCAACAGTTCTTAATGGTGGAAAAAATTCAAGTTGAAAGATACATTAAGTTGAATAAGTTTCATGAATATCTTAAATGATGGCCCTTGATTAGTAGTAACTGATTGTTAATGAGATACGACATAAGGTTAAAATTTGGCCTAAGCAATTGTATGTAGATTTTAGCCCTCAAAAGTTATTCTTGTTCTGCTTAGTCCATCGAACTTGATAATCTGGTACTGAAATTCGTACATTGCAGCGTTTAAGCAACTGCCAATCGGACGAGATCATTGGAAGCGTTTGTACACACAATGTGACTGAGTTCTAACATATTTCATAGGTGGTGATCGTACATTCGATGTGGCATTTAGCTTTATGAAGCCCAGTTTTCATGATGTATAGAACTACGCACTTATATGGGTGCTGTCCACTAATTAGTCTCCGGACTATTAAAGGATCGACCATGCGAATTAATAAAATCTGAGCTCACTCTTGAAGTAAGAATTTAAATTCTGTGACTTGGAAAATTAGAACACGAGGCAAGACTCGTTTGGCAGTATGAAGTAACTTTCGGACCTCATCATTGGAATTTAATTGTTTTGTTCGTCGGAACTTAAATTTTACATAATGGAGTAATATCTCAGAAATGGCCTTTCGAAAATGAACGCAATTTCGAAGTTAACTCTAGTTGTCTGAAAGCGGATTCGTTTCTATTTGCGATAGAAAATAATGTTTGTTTTCGCCCATCATCTAAGAAATATCACAGATAAGCATCACCTATTTATTTATATCAAATGACAGGCTTTTTTGATAGTCATCATTGGCCATTTAGCTGACTTCGGGTTTCACAGAGAGGAGGAGGAACATCAAAGTGAGAAAAATTCGAGAGGGGCGAACAAAAGAATGATTCACAGATGTTAAAGAGATAGACAGACACAAAGGCAGAGAAAAGGTAAGATGAGTACTGTGAATGTAGTTGAATATGACATACAGTCGAGTTATGGTAGTTTGATGTCAGCAGTCGATTTATTGACATTTTTGCCGTATGAGTACACGTTGCCATTATGCACCACGTGGAGGTTAGTCTATCACACACCCGGCATCACCTATTACGATACCAATCTCTAATACGTTTTTGATGTATCAAAGAGCAAGCGCGTGACAGCTTTCAATAAGCTTGGATCATGTTCAATTTTCGTTAATGTACCCTTTTACGAATCTTTACAAAATTTTTAATGCTTTTTATTGCATATGAAACAAAAATTTTGAAATAAAAATATAAGAAAACGGATCTATTTTCCAACTGTTCAATTGCTCACCTATGCAAATTATATGACTCTTCCCTGCTAGTTAGAGACCTCGTTCTACCTCTTCGATATATATGTCCACAAGTTGTCGCGGTATTACAGTTAACTGAGAGTAGGGATAATTAATTATCAGAAGGCAAAACACAGCCGGTCGATTTCACTACAAGTTTGATTATTTCAGACAACATATAAACAACATAAGTTTTGTTTTGTAGGCTGGGTGATAAATTATATAATTTTTTGAGTGCTACTTAATCAAGATTCATTATTTCTCACTTTTCAATCTCAGTCTCCTTTAACCCTTTAACGCCCTTAGGGAACCGTACGGTCCACTTTCAAAATTATTTTTATTATTTTATCACCGATGGTTATAATGTAGATGCGAAAATAACTTAGCTTTTAGTTGTGAAAAGTAACTGAAATCGATGACCAAATTCCAATAAATTTTCATTGAGGGGGAGGGTGGGGTTAGGGTTGGGGGTCGATATTAGAGGAGGATTCTACTTTACGTGACTTTAAGTTAGGGCTGAGCAGCATCTACTTAGTGAGTAGCTCACATTGAAGCAATTTCCTATCCACAATGTCCAGTACTTACTGATTGGCTGTTCGATTAGGATAACTGGTCCTACCACTTCAATTCTCTTTTCCTTCCAAGGGTTGAGATAGTTAAATTATATAGCGCGATAGTGAGCATATGAAGGTAGCATGCTTGCATTGAAAAGTTCTTTTCTTTTGCACTGAAATCATGAATGAAATTTGCTTCAGCACCAGATATATAGACGTCAATTAAAACCCATAAATTTCGGTAGCTAGTGCATTCTATTATCGACAATGACTCACCAAAATCAATCATCTGATTATCAGTTGTTTTAAGATAGCGCTATTTCCAAAGTGGAAATGTAATCCCATAATCCTTAATACTAAAAATAAAGCCTACACAATGTTGGTATTTTTGGGTGATTTCGAAAACAGAAAGATAGTCAATCATTCAAAAAATCCATTTGGTCTAACTTAGTGAGTTGGGTTAAATGGAATAGTTTTATCCGCGTATATTACTCAATTCTGCATTTACGACCATTTGATCGGCTTCTAAGGTTATATCGCTTGAATAGCAATGGCTATTGGTGGAAGTATTAACGACAAAACAGCAACTGTAGCAGCAAATGCCACGCTAATTGTGCAATTAAATTCGGACTATGTTATTGGCCATGGTTACGACGAGGAAAAAATAGCCCCAACGACCTCGAAACGTGTAATAAGCGCACGTCCTGAAGCGCGCCATTTTCAGAACATCCAACACTGTGAAATGCACTCTTCTGTCATACAATGAAGCATAATTCATTTGTCTCGGTGTTACAGGTGTGTCTATGTCTATAGTAAGCACACCCATATTTTTATTAGATGTACCTTGATTCACATGTCGTTAAAGCCTACCTTAACGTCACAACAATAAAGAAGGTTGAATTTAAATTCTCTAATTGTCAAACATGAACAAGGACCCTTTGGATTTTGAAAGTCCATTAATCATATTATTAGGCAGATATGCTAATAAAAATTAATCCAATTAATGTTCTAGAAATTCGAATAATAGCACTAACTTATTGGAGAAAAGGATGAAACGCTGACGAGTGCTTAACAAAATAAAAGACATGATAGTAATTTAACATTATTTTTATTTTTCCATTATACTGGGTTATGCCGCCATATTTACCATAGTTAATCTTCCCACCTGCGTAAATAATATTATATTTATATCAAATGGCAGGCTCTTCTAAGAGTATTTATTTATATCAAATGGCAGGCGGTTTGATGGTTAGTTGACTTCAGGCTTCACAGAGAGCAAGCCCTTTAGTACTTCGGGTCACAGAGAGGAGGAGGAACATCAAAGTGAGAAAAATTCGAGAGGGGCGAACAAAAGAATG